TTGCTTGTGGAGCACATGCTTTTTGTACAAATTCATTAAAACCAAATCTTTTTCCAAAATTAAATGCTAAATGCTCAACGGAAATAAATTTGCCTAATTCTTCCTTATAAGTTTTTTCATTAAAACGAAATAAAGGGGAAGTGTTAGGATTGACGTACCCAGAAATTTGTTGTTGCCCGATATCGATTCCCGTTTCAGTTGGATGTTTGCTCATAAGATGTCGTTTAAATGTTCTATATCCTTGTCCACCTGTATATTTATATATTTTTCCACAATATTTACAAATTATATCATACCTTTTTTGACCGATATCAAACCTTTCCATTTTCGTGAAGTGATTCCAAATGTCGGATGTAAATTCCCGTTCCGCTTCCTTTGTTGTAGATATTTCAGCGGGAGGATGAAAACTTTCTTGCGTCGGGGACGCGCTCCACATCGTGAAAAATGTTGATTTCATCATCTTGAAAATCTGCATATTCACGAGGATCAAAAGAATGATGGGATTCCGTCGCGATATTCTTACCTTTGCCGGTTGGCACTCGACTTCCACTTGCCATTTTTCGAATGGATTGAGAGAATTGAGCGGATTAATTGGGAGAATTAAGAAAGAATTGCGTGGATTGAAAAAATTGAGAGAATTTCAGAGAATTTGAAAGAATTTCGAGTATTGAGAAAATTTGAGACTTGAGAGAAGAGAATTGGAGAGAATTTGAGAGAATTGTGTGTGTATTGTGAGAATTTGAGAGAATTTATAGGAAAAAAATAGAAGAAAATTTAGAATTAAAAATAAAACATAACCGTTGCAAAATTGCAACGGTTATGTTTTTTTTTATTATAAAAATGCCCGTTGGGGCGTAGCCGTTGCCCCAACGGCCGCCGCACGCCGCAGCCGCAAGGTCTCTGCGGCGCGGCAGGCTCGCACGTCTGCAGCCCCGCCGCAAATAAATCTATTTTTTTTTTATTTTTTTTGTTGGGCCGTTGGCCCGTTCTCTCCCGGGCCCGCAGTGCGTGCCTGCTGCAGTGCGTGGCTGCTGCAGGGTCTTGTAGCACCTGCACCTTTTTTTTTTTTTTTCCCAGAAGGCCGGCCGGCGATTCCGGGCCGGTTCAAATTTTGGAACGGAATCGGGACCGTATGCCACGGGCCGGTTCCGGTTCGAACCGCGGCCCGGCATCGGGCCGGGCCCGGGTTTGACCGGGCCGGTTCCGGTCCGGTTCCGGGCCAAAACTGGCCCGTGGCCACGTCTAATGTATCATTTGAGGATCCAATTGCACAAACAAATAAAAGGGGAGGGACCAAATTGATATTTACAAAAATCCAGGGACTAATTTAAATAAGATAGTCTTATGTAGGGGTGTCAAAAAAATCCGAGCCGACCCGGCCCGGTCCGACCCTACCCGGCCCGACCCAAAATTTTAGGATATTTTGGGATTAGGTCTTATTTTCTATGGATATGGGTTTTAGATGTGGGTATTTATTAGGATAGGGCCGGGCCGGGCTTTTTTGACCTAGTACCAAATATAACCCTAGCCCCCCCTTCGCTCTCTTCTCTCTCTGCGCCCCCCCTCCCCCGTCGCTCTCTTCTATCTCTGCGTGGAGACCCATCTCCCTGTTGATCCTTTCCGCCAGAGCAGCGACCGCCTCCCACTCCGCCGCCTCCCCCCTCCTCCGCCGCTGCCACCGCCAAGCCACCCAGGTGGCCATCTCGTGCCTACGGCAAGGTCACCATGCGAGACCTCTCCCTCCCCTCCGGTGGCGGCGCCCTCTCGACCCCGAAGCCGTACTCTCAAGACGACAAGCTCCTAACCCTCCTTCGCCAGAGGAAGACGGAGGAAGCCTGGGCTGCGTACGCTCAGTCCGACCACCTCCCCAACCCCACCTGCCTCAGCCGCCTGGTGTTGCAGCTGTCCTACCAGAAGACCCCCGAGGGCCTCGCGCGCGCCCAGTCCATCCTCACGCGCCTCCGCGATGAGCGCCAGCTCCGCCGCCTCGACGCCAACTCCCTTGGCCTCCTCGCCGTAGCCGCTGCGAAGGCCGGCCAGACCCTCTACGCCTCCTTCGTGGTCCATGCTCCGCTTTGGGTACCTCCCCCACGTCAAGGCCTGGAGCGCCGTCGTCAGCCGCCTCGCCGCGTCGGATTGATCTGTGTTTGTTGTGATTTTTGGGGGGAGATCTTACGGTTTTGGATACGTAAATGCAAAGAGAGAGAGAGACAGAGAAGGAGGAGGAGGCACAGAACAAGGTGCAGAGAACAAACCTCAAACCCGACCCGGACCGACCCCATTCTTGGAGTATATGCTTAACAGGGTCTTGGGTCGGGCCGGGTCTGGTCAAGCGAGACTCTATATATTTCGGGTCGGGTCGGGTATCATGAAACCCCGACCCGACCCGACCCATTGACACCACACTCTTATGCTAACGTCCCCAGCCTCCCCCCTCTCGTCTCTCAGTTTCTCTTACTCTCCTCTCGCTCGCACAGCGCCGTCGCACTCTCTCGCCGGCGGAACCCTCGCCTCCGCCGCCGTTGCCGTCGGACCTCTTTCGGTCTCCGGCTTCCGCTCGCGCCTGCGCAGCCCAGCTCCGCCTCTCTCCTTTCTTCTTTACAGCTCGCCGGCCCCGAGTCGCCGCCAGCCTTTGCAGTGCCCACGCCTAGCTCGCCGACTCGCTGTCGAGACCAAGGTATGAATGTGTGATAGCTATGGTATTTGTTAATAATGCCCTCAATTTCAGTGATCATTTTAGTTAGGTTGGTAGTGCAAAAGTTCCAATTTTTTCACAAATTTCCGCAGTTGTAAGAGCGCATAGAACCTATGTGGAACTGGTCATTGCTCAGAAAAGCACGTTGGCATGATCTTGTTGGAAATTGCTTCTCTGTCTGACTGCGAGAGGGTGTACGTGGTGAATAGCTTTCGAGGTGGGATCGATCTGTTGGCTTCGATGTTGGTTTATCATGTGCTCGTGATAACCTCTTTTCTTGATTTTTGAGTTGGTTGCGGCAATTTTGTCATCTTCATGGAAACTGATGGGCTTGCTTGAATGGATAAGACGATTATGTCCGCCTTGGTGACGGTAAAACTGCTGATGCTCCTGATGGTGAGAGTTGTTGCCTGCTGTGCAGATTTGTCTGCGGTCTTTATCTAAGAATAAGTGGTTATGGTTACAGAATTTGCATCACATGTCTTACTCCTTGTGCTCCAGTATTGAGACAATAATCATAGTTCTTTTTTGCATACGCAAGATGACCGGTTTATCTCTTGGAGAAAAGCAATTCATACAAGGGGTAATCAAATATCAGTTTAGAGTTTTTCGTGGTATTAACCCAATATTTTTTGGTAAAGTAATTGGCTAAATGCCTCGTAAGATGCAACATAAGGTGATACATCAGCATTCAACAATCACCTCTGCACATTTCCGTGTATAATTTCAATTGAAGGACCAACTTGAAAAGAAGTATGTATCATTTGAGGATCCAATTGCACAAACAAATAAAAGGGGAGGGACCTAATTGATATTTACAAAAATCCTTGGACTAATTTAAATAAGATAGTCTTATGTAGGGGTGTCAAAAAAATCCGAGCCGACCCGGCCCGGTCCGACCCTACCCGGCCCGACCCAAAATTTTAGGATATTTTGGGGTCAGGTCTTATTTTATATGGATATGGGTTTTAGATGTGGGTATTTATTAGGATAGGGTTTTTTGCCTAGTACCAAATATGACCCTAGCCCCCTCGCCTCTTCTCTCTCGCGCCCCCGCCACCACCGCTATCACTGCGTGGAGCCCATCCCCGGTTGGCCATTCCGCCGCAGCGACGCCGGCCACCATGCGAGACCTCCCCCTCCCTCCGCCGCGCCACCTCTCGAGCCACCCGATGGTACTCGTGCCTACGTCAAGGTCACGATGCAAGCTCCTAACCCTCCCTCCGGTGGGAAGACGGAGCTGACCCCGAAGCCGTACGCTCAAGACGACCACCTCCCTAACCCCACCTACCTCGACTTTGGTGTTGCAAGTCCACGGAGGAAGACCCCTAGGGCCTCGCGTACGCTCCATCCTCACGCCGACCACCTCCCCAACCCCACCTACCTCAGCCGCCTGGTGTTGCAGCTGTCCTACCAGAAGACCCCCGAGGGCCTCGCGCGCGCCCAGTCCATCCTCACGCGCCTCCGCGATGAGCGCCAGCTCCGCCGCCTCGACGCCAACTCCCTTGGCCTCCTCGCTGTGGCCGCCGCGAAGGCCGGCCATACCGTCTACGCCTCCTTCGTGGTCAAGTCCATGCTCCGCTTTGGGTACCTCCCCCACGTCAAGGCTTGGAGCGCCGTCGTCAGCCGCCTCACCGCGTCGGATTGATCTATGTTTGTTATGATTTTTGGGGGGAGATCTTACGGTTTTGGATACGTAAATGCAAAGAGAGAGAGAGCCAGAGGAGGAGGAGACACAGAACAAGGTGCAGAGAACAAACCTCAAACCCGACCCGGACCGACCCCATTCTTGGAGTATATGCTTAACAGGGTCTTGCGTCGGGCCGGGTCGGGTCAAGCGAGACTCTATATATTTCGGGTCGGGTTGGGTATCATGAAACCCCGACCCGACCCGACCCGATCCATTGACACCACACTCTTATGCTAACGTCCCCAGCCTCCCCCCTCTCGTCTCTCAGTTTCTCTTACTCTCCTCTCGCTCGCACAGCGCCGTCGCACTCTCTCGCCGGCGGAACCCTCGCCTCCGCCGCCGTCGCCGTCGGACCTCTTTCGGTCTACGGCTTCCGCTCGCGCCTGCGCAGCCCAGCTCCGCCTCTCTCCTTTCTTCTTTACAGCTCGCCGGCCCCGAGCCGCCGCCAGCCTTTGCAGTGCCCACGCCTAGCTCGCCGACTCGCTGTCGAGACCAAGGTATGAATGTGTGATAGCTATGGTATTTGTTAATAATGCCCTCAATTTCAGTGATCATTTTAGTTAGGTTGGTAGTGCAAAAATTCCAATTTTTTCACAAATTTCCGCAGTTGTAAGAGCGCATAGAACCTATGTGGAACTGGTCATTGCTCAGAAAAGCACGTTGGCATGATCTTGTTGGAAATTGCTTCTCTGTCTGACTGCGAGAGGGTGTACGTGGTGAATAGCTTTCGAGGTGGGATCGATCTGTTGGCTTCGATGTTGGTTTATCATGTGCTCGTGATAAGCTCTTTTCTTGATTTTTGAGTTGGTTGCGGCAATTTTGTCATCTTCATGGAAACTGATGGGCTTGTTTGAATGGATAAGACGATTATGTCCGCCTTGGTGACGGTAAAACTGCTGATGCTCCTGATGGTGAGAGCTGTTGCCTGCTGTGCAGATTTGTCTGCGTTCTTTATCTAAGAATAAGTGGTTATGGTTACAGAATTTGCATCACATGTCTTACTCCTTGTGCTCCAGTATTGAGACAATAATCATAGTTCTTTTTTGCATATGCAAGATGACCGGTTTATCTCTTGGAGAAAAGCAATTCATACAAGGGGGCATCGCTCAAGACCTCCGCTCCGATGGTCGTAAACGATTAACTTACCGACCCATATATGTCGAAACTGGCGTCATTCCTCAGGTTTTTTATAGTTGCTGATTTGCAGTACATAGAAACAGCACTTTTGATGTCTTATGTGGTGAGATTTATCCAATGCAATTATCGTTTTGCACATATAACAGGCCAATGGCTCAGCCAGAGTTAGAATGGGCGGAACTGATGACATTGCCAGTGTGAAGGTAGTTTAAAGCATGATTCTTTATTTTTTTCCTTTTTATAGGACTTAACCGTTTGGTGTTGAGGAGTTTTCTTTCTGTTTCTGCTCAATCTGGGCACGGATCCTGGTGTTTGTGTTTTGTAGTGTGGTACTCATTATTCCCTCCTGATGTTTTCAAACGCAGGCCGAAATTGGAAGACCAAGTCCACTACAACCCAACAAAGGGAAGGTTTCCATGTATGTTGATTGCAGCCCAACTGCAGCTCCAATGCTTGAGGTCCTATACTTTTAATTCTGCTGCTTCCCGACTTATCTATTCTGGTAATTTTAGTTTGCATAGATCTGCTAGTTCTAATTTTTCTCCCCTTCATGTTTCTTTTGAATGTCCCTGACTATCAAGTTAGCAGAATAAGTGGACCGATAGTTTTTAAAATTGAAAGGGTGGGTTTGAAGCTAAATACTGACATTTTGAAACTTTATTCGTATAAGCTGCACCATGTCTGGTAGAGTATAATTCCCGTGCCCAATTAGAGAATAGATATGTATATTAGTTTTAAATTAACTGATATGTGGCTGATTGCTGTCTTCAAACTGAACATTGACTTGGTTCGTATGGAGTTGCTTGATGCTTCTAGACAGTATCTGGTCTCTAAATTAGCTTTCAATTTTCTCCCCTTGAGCAAGGTCAACAGAAACCAAAAAAAATACTGACTTTTTGAAACTTTGTTCCTATGAGCTGCATTATGTTTGCTAGAATATGCTTCCGGTACACAATCAGAGAATAAGTATCCATATCGGTTTTAAATTAACTGATAGCTGGCCGATTGCCTTCAAAATGAACTTTGACTTGGTTATTATGGAGTTGCTCGAAAGAAACCTAAATTTTCCTCTGTGGACACTCGGTTGAAAATTGGACATTTCACTGTTACTATCCTTCACCATATTGTTCTTAACTTCTGATAGTTACATCAATTTAACGCAGCAGTGCAATTTTATGCAGGGTAGAGGGGGTGAGGAGTTGTCAACGGAACTCTCAGTTGCTCTTCAGCGATGTCTTTTGGGTGGGAAAAGTGGAGCAGGTTTGAAATATTTTGTACAGTGTTTGACATGCTCTATACATTCTTTCTCTGCATTTTCTTACTGAAAACATGTTCTTTTTTTCTTTTGTCCACATGCTATCAAATGTGTATTAGTGCCTGTCTTTAAATCACAAGTTGTGACTGTTTGTATTTCACAGGTGCTGGAATTGATTTGTCATCTCTGATAGTTGTGGAAGGAAAAGTCTGTTGGGATCTGTATATCGATGGTCTTGTCGTCAGTTCAGATGGCAATCTCTTAGATGCTCTTGGTGCTTCCATCAAGGTATACCTTTCTCGAGCATTCTGTTCTGTCAAACTTTCTGTTAGACGGGTTGGGCTCGATATGTATTGTTCCTTCAACATTGTAATTAATTTTGTCCTGATCTGACATCCCTTCTATTGCTCCTTCTGGATTGGAGGCTGCTCTGAGGAACACAGGCATCCCCAGAGTGCACGTCATTGCCGAAGCATCCAGTGAAGATCAACCTGAACTTGACATCAGTGACGAAGAATTTTTACAATTCGACACATCTGGGGTTCCTGTCATTGTTACATTAACGAAGGTATAAAAGCTTCAGTATTTCTCCACTTCCAGAGTTGTTTACCTTCGCTGTCGAATTCTCATCTTCTTCCTTGTCCAGGTGGGCAGGCATTACATTGTAGATGCGACTTCGGAGGAAGAATCACAGATGAGCTCTGCCGTTTCTGTTTCTATCAACAGGAAAGGGTTAATATGTGGTCTTAGCAAGCGGGGAGGTGCAGGTCTGGATCCAAGTGTTATACTGGATATGATATCTGTGGCTAAGCATGTAAGCGAATAACTAATCGATCGGTTAGATTCTGAGATATCCGCCGCTGAAGCCATTGAAGAAGAATGATGCTCTTGTACAAGTCTTAAAGTTCTTTCTGGTAATTTGGGCAATGGCTAATCCATCTGTTAGATTCCGAGATATCCGCGCTATGCTGCACATTCCTTCCTTTACTAATTTAATCCACAGTTACCTGTAGCACAAGTCAGTGTCATGTGGCTGGGAAATGTCTTCAATTTGTTGTCCTCACTAGCTACTCGGATTGAAAAAACGGTTATGATTCGATAAATATTTTGGGGAGAATGAGGTAGTGTACAAGTAATAGGATTCAAAGGTCCTGTTGGGGTGGTACTTTCTTCTCCCATTGGTTGTCCGTCTAAGTTATTTTTTGGCCATCCAGTTCCACAGTAGATGCTTCTTGGTGCACCCTCTTTCTTTGGTTTAAATTTTAAGTTTGCCAAGCAAACTAAATGCCAGATCAAGAATGCACAATTTCTTCTTAGACTGGGTTATGTTATTCTCTGTTCGGATTGCTTAGCTTGCGAGCTGTCGATGAAACCCGATGAGCTGGGTCGAAATATCTAATAAAATTTCAATAGGAGACGAGGGAAGGGATGAGCTCTCAGTGGAAGCAGTGAATGCAACACAAAAAGAGTATCATGCCTTCAAGTTTACAAAGCGAAGAGGCTTAATTTTCCTCTGGGCACCGAGAAAGACACTAATCATTTGTTTTTGAACTGTAATGTTGATCTGCCTGCTATCAACAAGAAAAACGAATCGAAAGAACTTACATTTGAAGAACCAATCAAAAGAATCGTCCCAAGTCAACTGCTGCTATCGAGTTTCAATCACTCGGTTCTAAAGATAAGCCCTTTATCAAAACCTACTGGAATTAGAGTACTAGCTTGCAACTCACCACACAGTTTCATCGCCAACTGATCTTTCCCACACTGGCGAAGTTCATGGCACACCTCAGACAACATAACTGAATTGGGAAGCATCAACCTATTGACCATTTCTGTGAGCACCTGGACTGCCCCGTCGAGATCATCTCATTTCGTGAAAGCACACATCAACATAGTAAGAGTTTCACTATTGGGATGACGCCCGCTCCTGATCATGCTTTTATACAGCTGAAGTGTGCCGTCGGGGTTATTCCTGACACACTACCCTCTAATGAGAGCGGAAAAGGTGGAATTGTTCGGAACTAAGCCCTTGCTATCGAGATCTTTAATCAGATAAGCAGCTTTCTTTGTCTTACCATTGTTGCAGAGTCCCAATATTAATGCATTATATGTCAATATATCGGCCCTCACTCCGTACTTCGACATTTCTTCAAAAATCCTCTCTCCCATTTCGCTGTCACCGACTTCGCTATATCCGTGTATCAGAGTATTGTAAGTCACGGTATTGGGAGCCACATTCGAAGCTTTCATTCGGCTGAATATCTTGTTCGCTTCGTGCAACTTCCCACACTTTCTTTCTTTTTCACGAACAATATTGGTGCACCCCAGGGAGATGCACTTGGACGAATGAAGCCCTTATCGAGTAATTCTTGTAGTTGTACCTTGAGTTCTTTCAACTCGGTCAAAGCCATCCTGTAGGGAGCTTTGGAAATAGCCTCCGTTCCAGGAACTGCTTCGATAGCAAATTCTACTTCTCGTTCCGAAGGTAGACCTAGTAATTCTTTTGGAAAAACATCCGGAAATTCTTGTACCATCAAGATATCTTCCAACTTTGGTTCGTCTTCCTTTGCTGTATTTTCTATTGTTGCTTGAAATCCTTGATAACCTTTCTACAATAGTCGGGTTGCTTCTAAAGCAGAAATCAGAGGAGTAGAAGGTCCTCCTCCATTTCCCATGAACGTATAGTAGGAGCGATCAAGGGGATGAAACTGAATCACCTTGCTATAACAGTCTATATTGGCTCGTTGTTTACTAAGCCAATCCATACCAACGATAATATCAAAATCATACATGGCCAATACTGCAAGATTTATAACATCCACCAATCTGCCTATAATTATCTTATACCGTTGACATCCTAGGGTAGTCTGCACTTCATTTTTCATCGGAGTAGAAACACTAAGTACATTTTCTAACTGTTTCGTCTCAAGTTTGGCCAGACGCACAAATTGACTAGATACGAATGAATGTGTAGCTCTAGTATCAATTAATGCATATGCAGCATGGTTATTGAGGAAAACCGTACCTGTGATCACTGCGTCGGAGTTCTCAGCATCCTCTTGGGTAAGTGCATATATTCGTCCTTGAGCAGGAGGACGATCGCCATTGTTAGCACAAGGTTGGACTCCAGTTGCTACCGTCGCCTGTCTTTGCTGTCAAGACGTATCCTGTCGCCATTGTGGACAATCCCTGACCATGTGACCTTGTTGGCCACACTCGAAGCACGCTCCCGTACGAATGAGGCACGGGGCATCGCTATGCTGTCGTCCACAAACAAAACAAGTGTTGCCAGAAATAGTAGCTGTCTGCTGAAAATTTCATTTCTTGTTGGAAACAAAGGGACATTTTCCCTTCGTCACTGGCCTCTTGCCCGAATGTTGATCCATTCGGGGAGTAGAATAATAAGATCTTGTGGAAGGGACCCTCTCCAACAAATCTTTCTCGATCAGTTGCGCCCGTTCATATAGTTCATTATAATCTTTTAGGTTCAGAGACACTAACTGACTCCGAATGTCAGGTTTGAAACCATCACGGAATCGTTTCGCCTTGTCGATGGGATTTTCAATAAGTCTAGGAGCGTACCTCGACAACTGAGCGAACCTTGCTTCATACTGGTCCACCGTCATATTTCCCTACTGGAGTTGCGAAAATTCTTTCATTTTCCGATCACGAGCACATTCAGAAAAATACTTCCCGCTGAATGCCTCAACGAAAGTATTCCAATTTACAGCAGCATTTTCTAGGAACACAGTTTCCTTAGTCGCTTTCCACCAATAGCTGGCGTTCCCTTACAGTTGATAGGCTACTAAAGTGACTTTATCTTCCTCAGAACATCGCAGAAGTTCAAATGCTTTCTGTAACTCATCGATCCAAGATTCCGCCTCTTCAGGATCTCCAATTCCAGCAAATTTCGGGGGTCGTAGCTTCAGGAATTGCTCGACCAGTCCATGCATTGTACGGTCACCATTTCCATTTCCATTTGCTGCCGCTGCATTCCTAGCAATAGGCAGTCGTTGCTGTGCTTGTTGTCCTAGCAATTCTCCTACGGTCGCAAGAGCCTGCAGAATTCCGTCTATTCGAGGATCTTGCTTTGATTTGCCTTTCGAGGTCGAGGTCGGGTCCAGAGCACTCATATTGCCGCTGGTAATATACTAAGGCTTTCTACAACGTAAGAACATATCAGTAATTAAACTTAATAATCCAAGACCTACTTACCAATCAATCAGGTGCACCGACACACATTCACATGCACGGGGTGTTTCATAACTAACTACCCCAACTTCAGCGCACCTTATCACTCCAGGCCTTTATTTTCGCTTGGTTTCAAAACCGTCTTCCCCATTTCGGTGCACAGTTTTTTTTTTTGGCCATCTTAGAAGCCTGCCAGGAGCCGCTCAATAATCAGGCGCTTCACCCCAGCGCCACTTCCTTCTAGAAGCTGCCCAATGATCAGGTGGTATATATATATACTACAGCGCCACTTCTTTCCCGAGGCCGCATAATGATCAGACTACCCGCCCCAGCGCCTCCTTGGTTAGAAGACGCACAATGATCAGGTATTCAGGACCCCGGTGCCACCTCCTAAGAGGCCGCTCAATGTTCAGGTCATATGGCCCCGACGCCACTCCTAGCCCTCGTTGGATCGTCCAATCACAAGTTACCACAAACTGCACCTACTAGAGGGAAAACCTGCTCTGATACCAAAACAACACGACACCCACACTGTCACGTCTTAAACCACTCACGGCCGATACTGTTAACCGACCATGACTGGAATGAGCCCGTGAAGCATAAATAATTGTTAGAACGTCTTGTTGATTTTAAATGGAAAAGCACGCGGAAGCAACTCAACGAGACAAAACCAAGCAAATAAAGGAAACGGTGCACATTGTATTTACAAGATGGATTCGTTCTTATTATATGTGCCCTCTCTCGCGCAAACAAGCCTTAGACGATATTTTTTACATGCCTATTTCAAAGGCACTTTTGAAAAACAAGCCATTTAAACAACAAAATTTTGGCTTGGATCCTTAGCTTCACTATGGCTATTATCTTCTCGCTCTCGCTCGCTCCTCCCCTCTCTTGTCCGTACAGCCGTCCTCACGCCCTGCCCATGGCCGCTCCCGGAGCCGAACCACCCATGCCAGTGAAAAGACCATTAAATCCACGAAGGGGGCCGACCCAGTCCTCGTTGTCCAGGCGGTACCAAGCCACATACGAGTGCGGGACAAGGTCTTCCCGGCCTTCGTTAACCATCACGTAGGTTGTAATTCTGCGGTAGGCGCAGTTCTCACAGGCATCGATTACCGTCAGGAGCTTGGCTCTCATTTCGACCGGATTGCCAAATAGGGCCGCGGGTGACGCCATCCTTACGGACCTGAAAAAAAAAAAAAGAAATAACGGGGAGTGAGTCGAGGAGACTCAGCAAGTAAAAATTTTACTAACAAGCGAGGACATATCGATCATCGTTACACGAAGCATTCTTACCGTACCGGCCTAAGTAGCCGATCAAACAATGGCGTGCATAGCAAGCATAAAACAAGAACTTCAGGCATCGCTAATTCACGGTTTACCTCATGTGTCGCGCCTCGGTTTCTATTTCATGTTAAGTAACATGCAAAAACAAAACACGAAACAAGGCAACTAGTTATGGAAAGCACAACATCGAACACCAAGAACCGAGAACGAGGAAAGCTCATGATACAACGTATCTCAACGTCATTTCTCGATAGTAAAATTTCACTTACTCTAACCGAACAAGAACTAGAGAGTAGAAATATGGACGGTGAGGGCGATAGCCTTGGGTTTCGGGCGACTCACGGTGTCGGCTCTTTCTTTTCTCTCCCTCGGCTTTCTTTCTCTCTCGGTTTTCTCTCTCTCCCTCACGGTTCTCTCTCTCTCTCTCTCTCTCTCTCTCTCTCTCTCTCTCTCTCTCTCTCGGCCGATTGTGTCTTGCGAAAAGGTGAGGCCAAAATTTTCCTAATGGCCTCTATTTATAGAGGAACAAGGCTTGAGTTGATGAAGTAAGCGCACGTATCATTGATTATTAATAGCATAGGCCAAAAGTCATGATGAAGTGGCCAATAATTCTCCCTCTCTCTCCTCACCCTTGGCCATGACTCTCTCTCTCTCTCCCTCCTTGCCGTGACTTCCTCTCTCTCCCTTGATCAATGCTTGGTGGGTAAGGCTTCATAAATGGATCATAATGGCTACTTTGAAAAAGAAGACCAAGCATTAACG